CCTTAATTCCTAAGCCAGAGAAAGATGCAGCACTGAAAGAGAATTACAGACCAATATCCCTGATGAACATAGATGCAAAAATCCTCAATAAAATTCTCGCCAATAGAATGCAACAACACATCAGAAAGATCATCCACCCAGACCAAGTGGGATTTATCCCTGGTATGCAGGGATGGTTTAATGTGCGCAAGACAATCAATGTGATACACCACATTAACAGACTGCAGAAGAAAAACCATATGATTATCTCAATAGATGCCGAGAAAGCATTTGATAAAATACAACACCCGTTCATGATGAAAACTCTAAGCAAACTGGGTTTGGAAGGAACATTCCTCAATACAATCAAAGCAATCTATGAAAAACCCACAGCCAACATCCTATTGAATGGGGAAAAGTTGGAAGCATTTCCACTGAAATCTGGAACCAGACAGGGATGCCCACTCTCACCACTGCTATTCAATATAGTTCTGGAAGTTCTAGCCAGAGCTATTAGGCAAGAAAAAGAAATTAAAGGGATACAAATTGGGAAGGAAGAACTCAAACTATCCCTCTTTGCAGATGACATGATTCTGTATTTAGGGGACCCAAAGAACTCTACTAAGAGACTATTGGAACTCATAGAAGAGTTTGGCAAAGTAGCAGGGTATAAAATCAATGCACAAAAATCAACAGCCTTTGTATACACAGACAATGCCATGGCTGAGGAAGAACTTCTAAGATCAATCCCATTCACAATAGCTACAAAAACAATCAAATACCTTGGAATAAACTTAACCAAAGACGTTAAAGATCTCTATGATGAAAATTACAAAACCTTAAAGAAAGAAATAGAAGAGGATACCAAGAAATGGAAAAATCTTCCATGCTCATGGATTGGAAGAATCAATATCATCAAAATGTCCATTCTCCCAAAAGCAATTTACAGATTCAATGCAATACCAATCAAGATACTGAAGACCTTCTTCTCAGATCTGGAAAAAATGGTGCTGAAATTTATATGGAGGCACAAGAGACCTCGAATAGCTAAAGCAATCTTGTACAACAAAAACAAAGCCGGAGGCATCACAATACCAGATTTCAGGACATACTACAGGGCAGTTGTAATTAAAACAGCATGGTACTGGTACAGAAACAGATGGATAGACCAATGGAACAGAATTGAAACACCAGAAATCAACCCAAACATCTACAGCCAACTTATATTTGATCAAGGATCTAAAACTAATTCCTGGAGCAAGGACAGTCTATTCAATAAATGGTGCTGGGAAAACTGGATTTCCACGTGCAGAAGCATGAAGCAAGACCCCTACCTTACACCTTACACAAAAATCCACTCAACATGGATTAAAGACCTAAATCTACGACCTGACACCATCAAGTTACTAGAGAACATTGGAGAAACCCTTCAAGATATTGGCACAGGCAAAGAATTTCTGGAAAAGACCCGGGAGGCACAGGCAGTCAAAGCCAAAATCAACTATTGGGATTGCATCAAATTGAGAAGTTTCTGTGCTGCAAAAGAAACAGTCAGGAGAGTGAAGAGACAACCGACAGAATGGGAAAAAATATTTGCAAACTATGCAACAGATAAAGGGTTAATAACCAGAATCTACAAAGAGATCAAGAAACTCCACAAAAACAAAACCAACAACCCACTTAAGAGATGGGCCAAGGACCTCAATAGACATTTTTCAAAAGAGGAAATCCAAATGGCCAACAGGCACATGAAAAAATGTTCAAGGTCATTAGCAATCAGGGAAATGCAAATCAAAACCACAATGAGGTTTCACCTCACCCCGGTTAGAATGGCTCACATGCAGAAATCTACCAACAACAGATGCTGGCGAGGATGTGGGGAAAAAGGGACACTAACCCACTGTTGGTGGGAATGCAAGCTGGTCAAGCCACTATGGAAGTCAGTCTGGAGATTCCTCAGAAACCTGAATATAACCCTACCGTTCCACCCAGCCATCCCACTCCTTGGAATTTACCCAAAGGAATTTAAATTGGCAAACAAAAAAGCGGTCTGCACCCTAATGTTTACTGCAGCTCAATTCACAATAGCTAAGACCTGGAACCAACCTAAATGCCCATCAACGGTAGACTGGATAAAGAAATTATGGGATATGTACTCTTTAGAATACTATACCGCAGTAAGAAACAACGAAATCCAGTCATTTGCAACAAAATGGAGGAATCTGGAACACATCATGCTGAGTGAAATAAGCCAGTCCCAAAGGGACAAATACCATATGTTCTCCCTGATCGGTGACGACTGACTGAACACCAAGAGGGAAACCTGTTGGAGTGAGGTGGACACTATGGGAAATGGTGGCTTGATCAGCATAGCCCTGACTGTTAATGAACAACTTAATACATTATCCCTCTTAGTAGTTTTTTTTATCTGTTCTACTTAATATGACTGGTTTAGATCTGTAATTGATGCACAGTTATTCTTAAGTGTTGAAAATTAACTGAAATGTGATCCCTGTTGAACATGGTGGTGGGAATGGGAGAGGGAAGAGATGTATAATTTGGGACATGCTCAGGCTGACTTGCCCCAAGTGGTGGAGTTGGAAGCATACCAGGGGATTCCAATTCAATCCCATCAAGGTGGCATGTACCAATGCCATCTCACTGTACCAGGTGATCAGTTTCAGTTCACAGTTGGTCATGGTGAAGGGACTGGGAGTCAAAGGGAACACATAGACAAGTCTAGTACCTGCTAACGCTAACCGATGGAGTAAATAAAGGGGAGAGTGATCCAACATGGGAAGTGAGATACTCAGCAGACTCATAGAATGGCAGATGTCCTAAATAGCACTCTGGCCTCAGAATCAGCCCTAAAGGCATTCGGAGCTGGCTGAAAAGCTCATGAGAGTATTTCAGGCATGGAAAGCCAAGACACTCTGGCAAAAGATCTCTGCGAGTGAGATCCCAGTGGAAAGAACAGGTCATCAAAGAAGGAGGTACCTTTCTCTGAAGGGAGGAGAGAACCTCCACTTTGACTATGACCTTGTCTAAACAAGATAAGAGTCGGAGAACTCAGAGGGCTTCCATAGCCTTGGAAACTCATGACTGGAGCATAGGGAGATTACTGATGCCATAGACAGGAGTGTCAATTGGTAAAGTCAGCAACAGGAGTCACTGTGCACTTACTCCTCATGTAGGATCTCTATCCTTAATGTGCTGTACATTGAGATTTAATGCTATAACGAGTACTCAAACAATATATTTCACTTTGTGTTTCTATGGGGGTGCAAACTGTTGAAATCCTTACTTAATGCATACTAAACTGATCCTCTGTAAAAAAAAAAAAAAAGAAAAAAGAAAAAAAAAAAAAAGAAAGAAATTATCAATTCCCAACTTGACTCTCACTGGGATTAAACATGACAATAGGTCTGCTCTGATTTCATCATCATTTAAAAAAAATCATCTATTATTTTTCACTTTATGTTTCTGTGTGGGAGCAAACTGTTGAAATCCTTACTTAATGTATACTAAGCTGATCTTCTGTATATTAAGATAATCGAAAATGAATCATGATGTGAATGGAAGGGGAGAGGGAGTGGGAAAGGGGAGGGTTGTGGGTGGGAGGGACGGTATGGGGGGAAAGCCATTGTAATCCATAAGTCGTACTTTGGAAAATTATATGCATTAAATAAAAGTTAAAAAAAAAAAAAGAAAAAAAAAAAAGTGTGGGCAAAATGTTTAACCACCCAAAAAGACATACCCAGTGCAGATAACCCCATGGAAAGCATCTCAGTATCATCTGTCGCTATGAAAGTGAAAATGGATACAATTATCCATTGAGTGGATGATAGTTAAAAGGTTGACCACAGCAAGTGTTGATGAAGATGAAGAACAACTGAAACTCTCATATATTTCTGATGGGAATGTACAGCAGGATGATCACATTTCAAAGAGTTTGATGGATGTTTTAAAGACATCAATTTGTTTGAAAGGAAGAATTTCAGAAGAGAGAGAGAGAGAGGGAGGGAGGGGGCAAGAGAGAAAGAGCACGCTCTGAAGTCTGGACCAGGCTGAAGCCAGGAGCCAGGAGCTCCATGCTGGCTCCCTTCATGGGTGGCAGGGCCCAAGCGCTTGGGCCATTCTCTGTTGCTTTCCCAGGCATATTAGTAGGAAGTTGGATCAGAAGAAGAGAAGCCACCATATAAGATGCTGGCCTCCTAAGCTCAGCTTCACACCCTGTGCCTTAGCATGACCGCACGTGTTGTATTTCTTAAGTGCTTGATTAATTCTGGCAAGAAGAGATATCAGGTTGGAGCTTTATTAATCAAAGAATCAGAGTAAGTCAAATATCATGAAAAAAAAAACAGCTTTAAAAAGAACTTGCCTGGTCCTGGAAAGACTTTTAAAAGTGCAAGGGTGGGCATCTGGCTAAGCACTTAAGACAGGTGTTGGGATGCCTGCCACCCTGTGGAGTGCCTGAGTTTGAGTCCTGGTTCCACACCCCATTACAGCTTCCTGCACAAGTGCACCCTGGGAGGCAGCAAGGGATGGCTCACATAGTTGGGTCCCTGTCACCCACCTGGAATACCTGGACTGGGTTCCTGGCTCCTGGCTTCAGCCTGGCCAAACTCCAGCTAGTATTGGCACTTGGGGAATGAACCAGTGATATCTCTCTCTCTCTCTCTCTCTCTCTCTCTCTCTCTCTCTCTCCCTCTCCCTCTCCCTGTCTCTCTCTCTCTTTCTCTATCTCTCTGAAATAGAAATAATTTTTTTTGTGATGCAGTCTGTATATTTCTGGTTCATTCCTACCTCTCTGGCTCGAACAGCCTGTGCTCGCTCAATCCAAGAGAGGATGTCCTGTACGGAGGCTGGGATTTCAGGCATTGGGACCGCTGGAACATCCTCAGCGTTCCTGGGGTTTCTTCTCGTAGTGGGGGATTGCTTGGCATTTTTTTCTAATTCAGATTCACCGTCTTTCTCACTTGATATTTTGATAAAAATGTGGAGAAATTTGGTGATTTTATTCTTTTTCACAGAATCTAGGCAAATACTAACAATGGTATCCACGAGGAAGCAAAGAAAGTGAGTTTTCTGCTCCCACAGGCAGTAGCTAACCATTCTAGGAACTGATTGTTAACCATCACCTCCCAGTCCTGGTGATGTCATAGGAGACCCACTGTGACATCATTTGAAGTCTGTTATCTCAAAGTTGAATATCATGAAAATACATTGAGCTTTAAAATAATGTACCTGGTCCCAAAAAAATTTTTTTTAATTTTTTTTATTTATCTGAAAGAGTTACACACAGAGAGAGAAGGAGAGGTAGAGAGAGAGAGAGGGAATCTTCCATCCACTGGTTCACTACCCAAATGGCCAAAATGGCTGGAGCTGCATTGATCCAAAGCCAGAAGCCAGGAGCTTCTTCTGGGTCTTCCACATGGGTCCAGGAGCCTCCAAGGACCTGGGCCATCTTCTACTACTTTCCCAGGCTGTAGCAGAGAGCTGGATCAAAAGTGGAGCAGCCGGGACTCAAACCAGTGTCCATGTGGGATGCCGGCACTGCAGGCAGTGGATTTACCCATTATGCCACTGTGCTAGCCTCTGGAAAGTTTTTTAAAATGTACAAGGGTGGGCATCTGGCCTAAGCACTTAAGACAGATACTGGATGTCTGCTCCCCGTGGAGTGTCTGAGTTTGAGTCCAGGCTCCACTCGTGTTACAGCTTCCTGCTCTGGTGCATCCTGGGAATTAACAAGTGATGGCTCAAGTAGTTGGGTCCCTGTCTCTCACCTGGAATACCTGGACTGGGTTCCTGGCTCCTGGCTTCAGCCAGGCCAAACTCCAGCTATTGTAGGCATTTGAGAAGTGAACCAGCCATCCCTGTTTCTTTCTCTCTCTCTCATTCTCTCTCCCTCTATATCTTTCTCTCTTCTCTCTCCCTCTTTCTCTCTTTCCTCCGTCCCATCTCTGAAATAGAAATAAATAATTTTTGAAAGGTATAGTCTGTATATTTCTGGTTCATTTCCTACCTCTCTGGCTTGAACAGCCTGTGCTCGCTCAATCCAAGAGAGGATGTCCTGTACGGAGGCTGGGATTTCAAGCATTGGGACCGCTGGAACATCCACAGCATTCCTGGGGTTTCTTCTCGTGGTGGGGGATTGCTTGGCATTTTTTTCTAATTCAGATTCACCGTCTTTCTCACTTGACATTTTGATAAAAATGTGGAGAAATTTGGTGATTTTATTCTTTTTCACAGAATCTAGGCAAATACTAACAATGGTATCCACGAGGAAGCAAAGAAAGTGAGTTTTCTGCTCCCACAGGCAGTGGCTAACCATTCTAGGAACTGATTGTTAACCATCACCTCCCAGTCCTGGTGATGTAATAGGAGACCCACTGTGGCATTCCCTACTGACTCACAGATTCTTAAAGGGGGTTTTTCATATAGGCCAGCTATTGTATATGCTGGGAGGGTAGCAAAGAATTGACACAAGGAACACTAAAAGAAGTAGGAGATGAGCCCTGCAGAAATGAGCTTAAAATCCACGGTTAGAGTTCAGGATACAGTGTATTAATTGTAAATCTGCTCTCTTCCTGGATTTTTTTTTTAAATGCAGAGTTACAGATGGAGGGAGTGGGGCAATGGGAGAGAAAGAGATAGATCCTACATCTGTAGGTTTACTCCCCAAATGGCCACAACAGTTAGGTTTGGGCCAAGGTGAAACCAGTAGACTGGAGCCTTCCCAAGGTCCCCCACATGGATTCAGAGGCTTAAGCAGTTGGGCCATCTCCCACTGCTTTCCCAGCAACATTACCAGTGAGCTGGATTGGAAACTGAGCCATTGAATCTCAGATTGGTGCCCATTGGGATGCTGGTTTCACTGGCAGCAGCTCAACACCCTACATCACATTGTCACCCCCTCTTCTTGGGGTTTTTCTTAAATATTTTTAGAAATATTTGTTGTGAAACAAATATTTGTTGTGAAAAATGACCATGCTGTATTTTAATAAAAGACTTAGTTTAGCCGTAGTTCAGCCATGATACTAGGCCTCAGTAGCATGTAGGATAGAGGATGCAAAAACTCCAAAGTAGGCCAACAGCTGAGTTTGCTTCGCAAACCATGCACCACTTGTTATATTTGTAACCTTCAGCAATTCTGTAATCTGTAACCCCTGAATGCCTATTACATGGTGCTGTCCTGTCTGATGTCCCAGAAGCTTTGCTGTTGTCAGGATGTAACTCCACCCTCTCCCTGTGCTAGATCTGCCCAGCAACACTCATTCCATTACCCTACCCCTTCCTTTAGGCTCTGTGGAGAGTTTAGATTGTACTCCCAGCTGTTCAACCAGAGAGAAACTGGGGAGAAGAAAAGTAGATCTGTGTGACAGGGATAAAAGAAGCTGTGTCTCAAAGGTGCCTTCTTCCACCTACCGGTCACAGCACTTGAGACCTATTAGCAATAAATGCCTCACTGTCTGCTTCCTTCATGTTTCTCTGTCCATCCTTTGGTGGATAGGTGTTCTCAAGGGAGCTTATTTCCCACATCTCTAATGAATTAAGTATATCAACTTCCTCAGCTGTCCCTTAACTTTTCTTAGATATAATAACTTGGAAGATATTATCTGGATGATGATGAATATTATAGTCTCTGCTCTTTTATCCACTGTTTCACTCTCTAAATGTCTGCAAGAGATGGCACTGGACATCTGAGGCAATAGCTAGAAATTCAATGTGGGTCTGCCATGTATCCGGTAGCAATCCAAGTACTTGGGCCAAGCCATCACCTGCCTCCCAGGATGCACATTAGCAGAAAGCTGGAATCAGAAGTAGAGCCAGTACTGCAACCCAGACACTCCATTATGGGATGGTGTCTTAACCACTGCACCAAGTGCCCAGCTCAAGGAACTGTCATTTTTATTTTTTTGAGAAGAGAAGCAAAGATTTTTTAGCAGTGGTTTAAAAAGCTCCCAGCAGCAGGAGGCACTGATGGGAAGAGACAAATCCCAGGGAGACAGGAAGTCTAGGGGTATGTATGAGGCTGCTATGGGTTGGTTTCCACAGGCCCAGTGGCTGAGGCTGATTGGTCCCTGCTGTCATGGCTGTTGTTGCTCAGCAGGGCATCTATGATCAGAGTTGAAAAAGAGGACATTGTTAGGAGAATGTTTTGTGGTTATGCTACCTGGAACTGGGCACATCAGGGCCCTCATTGTTAAGTACCACATCCTGATTCAACAATCTGAATGTGCAGGAAAGATGGTGGAGTGGGGTTCTGATCTGCTCTGTTGTTCCTGAGGGTGTTGGGTCCCTGTCAGTACTGGGAGGGAAGTAGCAGGAATGGAAGGGAACAAGAGCAGGGAAGCACCTGTGCTGCTAACAAAGGGGCAGGACCTGTCCTGCAGGACAGAATTCCTGCACCTAGGGGTCTGCCAGCAGCACTTAGCAAGATGGCAGGGTCGTCCAACCACCTGGACCTTCTGGAGTGCTGCAATGCCTGGGCAATAGCACCGTGCTTGGGCCAGCCCCCAGGCCACCTGAAACAAATCTCAGAGCCTAGAGTGTTTGCTGACTTTGGTGACCTCAGATCTGCCCTCCAAGGTGCTTGGCAAACAAGGTGGCCACCAGCCCAGGGCACTTCCTGGCCCCAAGGCCTACCCACCCCCCAAAGCCGGTGCTTGGCCCAGGCTTAACTGTGCCACGTACTTCATTGTGGTTGGGGCTGAGGGGAGAAGGGCTTCCATGCATCTGGCTTTGCCCAGAAGCTGAAAGTCTCAGAGACCAACCTAAGGCTCTGCCTCCAAGACCAACAGGAAGTGGCTAGAGACCACAGACTTGGCCAGAAACATGGACTTGCTCAGGCCAAAGCTCCTGGACTGGGTTGATTTCAAAGAGAGCAATGTCTGAGCGCTGCTGGCCACACTGTCCATGGCACTGTGGGACAGGTAAGCTGTTGGAGGCAGGGATGCCAGAGGTGGTGAAGAAGCAGTACTGCCACGCCTTGCTGGTGCTGCACCCAGACTTGGCCATGGGGCAGCCACACACACTGCTCCCTGAGATGGCTCTCCCAGAGCCGAGCGATGCCTGCCATGGTGGGAATGGTCTTGTCTGGGCCTGTCACCACTCATGCTCTAACGTTTCACTGCCATCTGTGGTCCCTGAGGAGGTGTTATGCTGCAAGCTTTTTCTTACAGCTTCAAGAGGAGGTGGGCCGTGACTACCTGATTGGCCAAGGGTGAGCAGATATGGCAGTGTGAGCACACCTGGCAGTCCCCCCAGAGGGGCAATTAAATGCAGGTCAGGTGTCCTCTGTCATCCCCAGGTCCTGTCAAGCAGTAGCTCCTCCCTGCTCCATGCAGTGTCCTGGTCTATAGCTACTTATACCTGGTGATGATATCTGCTCATTCTTGGTCTAAGTTTTCAGGGCCCACACGTCCTTGAAGAGTTTCCCAGCTTACCCGTGGGTGTTGATCAGCAAGGAAAGACTCAAGAACAATGATGCTGAGTTATGTTCAGAGTCTCACTGTAGCCACACCACCTCCTAGCACTTGTCTCTGTGTGGAACTAGAAGAACACTCAAGGGGCTGTGTTTTATCAGTGATGATAATAAAAAAGCTTGCAATCTTGGCTGTTTTCCAGTGATGAGAGAGAAGCTCATCCTTATCTTCATGACTGATTTGCTCTTTGTGAGATGCCACTGGGAGAATGACTTTTAGGGTCAGCCAGGCATAGATAATGATCACTCAGTACCCAAATCTGATCCAAATCTGATGTCAGAGTGAGGTCAGTTAGTTGCATTCTGTGATCATATCTATCCTGGCATCAGCATTTCATCATAACAAAAGGTCACCTTGGAAGTAAGTGTGGACCCTTGTAGCACTCTAAATTTTCCATCTAGAATGTGTCCAGTGTGTCCTGATAGGACCGTGTTCCATGCAGTACTGTTCTCTGCAGAGTCACCTTGGGTAGCTCAATCCTGGATCTGTCTGCATGCTTGAAATGAGGAGCCTTGGGGCCTCTGGGACTGACCAGTCCATGAGCCACACTTGAGGCTTCTCACCTTGTGAATTTATGAAGAAACACCCTCCTCTCACTTCTGCTGATCAGGACCCTGACTTATTTCAAAGTTCATATCAAGGACCCCACAGCTCCCTTTGCGGATCCTACAGAAATCTTAAAACCTCTAGAACACTGTCATTTGTACAAGCAATGCCTTGCCTTTTCTTACAATCACAG